TGAGAACCCCGTTCCACCGGGGACTGGAGGGGAAACTGATCTCCGCTGTCCCGCTTTTCTTGCTCTTATTTCTTGATCCTGAGATGGGGAGCAAACATTTCCTTCAGCCAAGAAAACCTGGGTTCAGGTTTTGCCTCTGGTCCATCTGTCCTGACAAGTGACCCTAGGTGAGTCATAGATCCTCTCAGCACTCTAGACCTATTTCTGAACCTGTAACTACCGGAGAAGTGTCCACCTGTATTTGTGGAGGGAATCTTCCCATCTTGGAGTCCTCTGCTCCAATGAGATCACGGATCTAGCTCCTCTCTTCCTTGGGGTGCCGTTTGTGACCCCTGAATATCATGAACTTAGAGGTGGCCTTCATAGAATGTGTAGATTGCACATTTTAAGTTTTAGCGTTTGGAATAATATTCCATTTCATCCTCTAGAATAATTTCGTGGGAGGTGGGGTAACATTGAACCAAACTGCTTAGCCTTGTCACCCAAACCACATCCCCAGCCATGATGAGGAGCAGCCTGGGAGTCGGCCGGCTCTGCGCCATCTGGTGGCCGGTTAGATCACTGCAGCAGGTTTAGAAAGCACAATCCACGAAGCGACTGACAAGCCTTCTAAGTGGGTCATAGCACTCCACCTGGTGGCCATCTGGGATACTGCACCCAGCCGACCCACCCAGAGCCTGACTGCACCTTGGACCTAAGAAAGACAGCGTTCAGCCCCAGAAGTCGATCGGGTCGGCTCCCACTGATGCCAAGGAGCCCCAGGATCCCCAAAGTCCTAACCACACAATCTATCCATTTCAACAGGATCAGATTTGAGGGGTGGCTGGTTTGTTAAATATTGAGATTGTTTCTGCCCAATTTTTCTAGCCATGGCTCTCTCCCTTCTTCTCACTGAGCCACTTTGGCTCCCACTTGCTTAGATCATTGAGACAAGTTGTTACCGAGTTCCAGAGTCAGGGACCACTTGCCCTCTCTTTTGGGGCCACCCTTTGGCACCAGGGAAAAACACTGGTCTCCCTTTGTCCTTGTTCTCTTTGGGGTGGAATTTGGAGATGATCCTCAGACCATAGGCTAAGAGCTGGAAGTGACTTCAGGCCATCCAGCTCAACCCCCCAATTTTACAGAGGAGGAAACTGAGGCCCAGGGAGAAGTAATTAGCTATATGTAGCAAGCTCAGGCTCTCTGTTCCCAGTCTGGCATTCTTTCTAATGTATTACACAGGGAGGGACCTTAGACACTGAACCCAGATACACAGAGAAAAACAGAGGAAGACCAGGGAGGGTAAGCAGCTCTGTCCAAGCCACACAGACTGAGCGGTAGAGAAAGACGAAAGACTCCTGATGTCCAGGCCAGTGCGCCATCTTCCACCACGTCGTGAAGCCAGTTATTTGGAAAGCCTTAAAGTTCAGCTCCAGCAGATGTGAATCTTCCCCAAAGAAGCAGAGGTGTGAGAGGGCTTGTCCCCTCCTGATGCGGCTCTTTCCAAACTCTTAGTGGGCCACTGAGCTCCCCATCATCCTCCTGGCTCCAAATCCCAATTCTGCCACTGATGCCCTCCCTGTAATCCTGGGCAAGTGCTCTCTCCACTCTCAGAGGCCTAACTCCCCTTCTCTGTAAAATGAAGATCGTGGAATGAAGGTTGTCTGTGATCTCTTCCAGCTCTGAGGCTAAGCCATTGGCGAGACCAGCAAACTCCCCTCCCCCTGTTTCCAGGGCACTGTCAGAAGGTCAGGCACTCCTGGCTCAGAGGTGCTCCCTCCTGGTGAGGAAGAGGTGGCCCCGGGCTGCAGTGAGTTGGTCAGGGAAGAATTTTGTTATAGGGAGTATGGGCTGTGGGGTAAGGGATTTTCAGCCTTGGTTCTTCTTTTTTGCTATGGAACATTTAAGAACAGAGGAGGAAGATCAACTTAAAGATGTCTGGGAACTGATCTCCACGAGGATGGGTCCCCACCTCGTCTTTGTAATCCCCAGCATTCTTAGCTGCCCCAACTACATTTTCCTTTGCTTTCTGGGAAGGGGGCCAAGGTCTGGAAAGCCATCTGTGGTCTCAGGGCTCCCCCTGCTGACCAAAACTAGGATTTCTCCATTTAAGAGAATTTTGCCACTTCCATGAGGGAGCCAAGAAAAGGAGAGCCCCAAATGGGAAAGGTCTGTAGACCCTGTTAAGGCAGAAGGAGCTAGGGGTGAATTACAGAATGAAACCCCTCAAGAGACCGTCTCTGTGCAGGAGCATTCGGGAACGTGTCCCCTGAGACTTTTACGGCAAATCTGCAGGTAGATCCACAGCACGTTCCCCAAGGCGGCCACGGCGCCAGTCAGGAACTAGTGCCCCTTCTGCCTCTTTGCCTTATTTTTTGCCGGGGGGTGGGTTTAAAGTGGCTGTCTCTGCTGTTGTTCAGTCACGTCTGACTCCTCGTGAGCCCTTGGGGGTTTTCTTGGCAGAGACACTGGAGTGGTTTGCCGTGTCCTTCTCCAGCTCATTTTACAGGTGAGAAAACTGAGGCCAACAGGGTGAGGTGACTCACCCAGGGTCACACAGCTAGTAAGTGTCTGAGGCTGGATTTGACTCTTTGTGACCCTGTTGGGGGTTCTCTTGGCAAGGATACTGGAGCCATTTGCCGTGTCCTTCTCGGGTGTAAAGTGGTACTGTAATACTGTTCTGATTTCCAGTTTGATTATTAGTGAGGCTGAGCCCTTTTCAAGTAATCATTAACAATGTTTCCTCTTCAGAGGATTATCTTTTCACATCTTTTAACCTGGATATGACCAAGACTGTTACTTTAGTTTTTCACATAGATGTGTTTCTTTTTATAAGCACTGATAATGTGATCCTCTCACTGCCCCTCTACACACACACACACACACACACACACACACACACACACACAATTGGCCATGCCTGTAAATGTACGTCTTTTCTCGGCATCATCAATTTGGCAGGAGGTAAGAGGCATGTCTTATCTTCAGGCCTCTGGACTCATCATTGCACTGATCAGAGTTCTTAAATCCGTCAAGGGTCATTTTTCTCTAGAAAGTTGTTTTTCAAATTGTTTTTCTCTGCCATTCTATAAATTATTCTCCTAGTTCTGCTAATATTCCTCTACATAAAAAAAAATACAAAGAGATCTTCCCAGATTGGGTTAAAACTGTCCATTTTGTCATTTCTTGTGGCAAAATAATATTCTGTTACATTTGTGTGCCATATTTTGTCAATCCATGCTCTGATAGGACAACTCAAAAAGGCTCTACATGTGCAGGAATGTTTATTTTAACTCTTTTCATCACAGCTAAAACTTGGGAACTAAGGAGCTTTCCTAGTCTAGTCAACTGCTAAACATTTACAAAAGTAACTTTCTTGGTCATATCCTGGTTAAAAGGTATAAAAAGATAATTCTCAGGGCAGCTAGGTGGCACAGTGGATAGAGCACTGGCCCTGGATTCAGGAGGACCTGAGTTCAGATCTGGCTTCAGACACATAACACTTACTAGCTGTGTGACTCTGGGCAAGTCACTTAACCCCAATTGCCTAAAAAAAAAAAAAGCGCTTCCTCAACCAGGAGTGTCATATTCAAAAAGGAACAAGGGCCAGCCCCTCTGAGCCTCGGCTTCTTCATCTGAAATAGGACAGTACTTCAAAGGTTTGTTTTGGGGAACAGATGAGATAGATAACGATAGGTGACAGGAATGCACAGGATGACTGCTATGATGGACAAGCCGTTTGGCTGGAGTTCCCGGGGTTCTCCTGGCTTGCTTGGGCTCTGTTCTTTTAGGAGAGGCAGAGCGACTCAGGGCGAAAGCTGACTTCAGAATGTGGGAACGGGGGCACAGATCCTGGGTCTGCAAACCTACCCCTTTGAGGTCCTGTGGACCCCCAAAATGGGCTTGGGGTTTTGTTCTGGTCCATTTTGTCAGCCCTTTTCAGCTGTAGGCACAGACAGTGAAATCCCCACCAGACCAGGACTAGAGCAATGGCATCCTTGGGAATAGAATTCCAGGCCAGAGATTGCTGCCAGCCCAGCAGGGAGGCCCTGAGAAGCCTGTGGTGCCTGGGACCTAAGGCAGAGCGGGGTGGGAAGGGCTTTGGCCTTGGGAGCAGGTGAGAATGTGCTACAGAGGACCTAGCTGAGCCCTGAGCCTGATTCGCTTCCTTCCCCAGAGACCAAGGTGGAGCAGGGCTGGAGGAGGGGGAGATTTTCCCCTCATGTACTGAGGGGGAGTTGTCTGTATATTTATTCTCACCACGCCTTTGAAGTAAATATTCCTCTGGTAAAAGCTGTCTGACTGCTAATGGCTAAATGGAACTGGGGTGTAGGGGACCCCTAATATTGAGAGATACCATGGTAGGGACTGGAGCCAATAGCAGAAAGATCAGACACCTCAGAGAACCCTGGGGGAGGGTCAGACTTAGACTTGTTATACTCGGCCTCCAGGCTTTGGGGCCAGGGCAATCGCCATTAGACACGCACAAGACTTTCATTTCTCCCAGTTAAATTTCATCTTCTTACGCTCAGCCCAGCATCTAGCCTGCCCAGAGCTTTGAGGATGTTGACTCTATCACCCGACTTGCCAATGTTTAATCTTCTTTATTATTTGATGAGCCGCCTGCTAGGCCTTCTTCCAAGTCACTAGTAAAAGTGTTAAACATTAAAGGGCCAAGCACAAATCCTCAGGACACTCCACTGGAGACTTCCTTCCAAGATATTTTTGATCCATTAGTGACTGCTCTTTAGGCCAGCCTGAATTAGTATTAGAATTATTATCACTAGCGTTGTGTCCCCCATCTCTTTCTAGAGGAAACCTTCCATCTCTATGGGAACCCTATTGGATGATCTGACTATTGGGGTAGGCAGCCAGTAATGTTCATTGTGGTGGGGCTGCTCAGGCCAAGGAAGGGACCCCTCCCATAGTCTTCAGGAGGACTGGAGGTGGGAGGGGTAGAGCCAAGATGGCAGAGTAAAGGCAGGGACTTGACTGAGTCTCCCAAATTCCCTTCCAAACAATGTTAAAATAGTTCCTCAAAATGAATTCTGGAGTGGCAGAACCCACAAAAAGACAGGGTGAAACAATTTTTTAGCTCAAGATAGCTTAGAAGATCTTCAGGAAAGGTCTGTCTCACTGGGTCATGCACAGACAAGCCAGCAGCAGGCCTTGGGGGTGACTGAATTGGTGATAGTGGTAAGGCATTGAACAACTGGTCAGAAGGAGGTTACAGGCCGCCCTTCGCTTGCACTGGGGGCAGGACTCTGTTGCATTGTCCCATGCAGTTCTGGTTGAAGTCTCAGGGTGAGGAGGAGCATTCGTAGAAGGCCAGTCAGAGTTCTAGGACAGAAAAGAGTGCTTGTGGTCACTCACAGACCAGAGAACAGGCCAGGGGAGCAGTGACCACACCTCTCTTTAGGTCATACTACCTTGGAAAAACTGAAAATGTCCAGACGTCCAGAACTAGCTCTGAAAACAGCAGCACAAAAAACATGAAGCTTGGGACAGTGATACTTCTACCCCAGGAGCGGACCCACCTTTAACACAAAGTTAAAAGTCAAGGAAAAGTTAGTAAACAACAATTAAAACCAATCTGACCATAGAAGTTACTATGGTGACAGAGAAGATTAAAACACAAGCTCAGAAGAACACAACAAAGTCAAAACTGCTACATGCACAGCCACAGAGAAAAAAATGTGAATTGGTCTCAGACTCCTCTCTCCAAAAAAACAAAAAACAAAAAACATAACAAACTGAATTCCTAGATAACTTCAAAAAGCGGCTTAAAAATCAAATAAGAGAGGTAGAGGAATATTTTTTTTGGGAAAAAATGAGAGTAGAGCAAGAAAATTGTGCAAAAAAGAGCTAATGGTTTGGTAAAGGAGGCACAAAAAAAAATACTTAACAAAATAATACCTTAAAAAACAAAATAAGCCAAATGGTAAAAAGAGGCACAAAAATCCATTGAAGAGAACTCCTTTAAAAGCAGAATTGGCCAAATGGAAAAAGATGTACAAAAGCTCACTGAAGAAAAGAACTATTTAAAAATTAGAATCAGGCAAGTGGAAACAAATGAGACATCCAGAATCAATTAAATAAAATCAAAAGAATGAAAAAATGGAAGAAAATTTGAAATATCTTGTTGTAAAAAATAACTAATCTGGAAAATAGATTGAGGAGAGATAATTTAAGAATTATTGGACTATTTGAAAGCTATAATTAAAAAAATCCATACACATCATATTTCAAGAAATTATCAAGGAAAACTGCCCTGATATCCTAGAATCAGAGGGTAAAATAAAAATTGAAAGAATCCACTGATCACCTCCTGAAAGAGATCCCAAAATGAAAACTCCCAGGAATATTATAGCCAAATTCTAGAGCTCCCAGGTTAAGGAGAAAATGCTTCAAGCAGCCAGAAAGAAACAATTCAAATACCATGAAGCCACAACCAAGATAAGGCAAAATTTAGCAGCTTCTCCATTAAAGCATCCTGGAGGGCTTAGAATATGGTATTCCAGAAGGCAAGGGAGCTAGGATTCTAACCGAGAACCATCTACCCAGTAAAACTGAGTATAATCCTTCAGGGGGAAATAGATATTTAATGAAATAGAGGACTTTCAAGCATTCCTGATGAAAAGACCAGAGCTAAAGAGAAATTTTGACTTTTAAATACAAGACTCAAGAGAATCATAAAAAAAGGTAAACAGGAAAGAGGAATCATAAATGATTCAATAAAATTAAACTGTTTACATTCTTACATGGGAAAATGATACTTGTAACTCCTAAGAACTTGATCATTCTTAGGAAAATTAAAAGGAATGGACATAGACAGAATGCATGGATGTAAGTTGACTATGACGTGATAATATCCAAAAAATAAAATTAAGAGGTGAGAAAGAGGGATGCACTGGGAGGAGGGGAGACAGGTGGAATGGGGTAAATTATCTCACACAAAAGAGGCATGAAAGAACTTTTACAGTGGAGAGAAAGATGGAGGATGGTAGGAAATGCTTGAACCTTACTCATTGGCCTTGGCTCAAAGAGGGAATAACATACACACTCAACAGGGTATAGAGATCGATCTTACCCTACAGGGAAGTAAAAAGGAATGGGTATAAAGAGAAGGATGGTGGGAACTGATAGAAGGGAGGGCAGATTAGGGGAGGTGGTGGTCAGAAGCAAAACTCTTTTGAGGAGGGACAGGGTGAAAAGGAGAAAGAAAGAAGGATAAACAGGGGAAAAATAGGATGGAGGGAAATACACAGTTAGTGTTCATAATTGTGAATGTGAATAGCATGAACTCACCCATAAAATGGAAGCAGACAGAGTGGATTAAAAACCAGAATATGTTGTTTACAAGGAACACATTTGAAGCGGAGAGACACACACAGAGTAAGGTAAAGGGTTGGAGCTGAATGAGTTACACTTCAGCTGAAGTGAAAAAAAAAGGCATAATAATCATGATCTCAGATGAAGCAAAAGCAAAAATAAATCTAATTAAAAGAGATAATCATAAGAACTATACTTTGCTAAAAGGTATCATAGACAATGAAGTAAAATTTTAAAAAATTATAGCAAGGTTTTTTTTCTGATAGAGGCCTCATTTCTCAAATATATATTAGAACTGAGTCAAATTTATAAAAATAAGAGTCATTCCCCAATTGACAAATGGTTAAAGGATGTGAACAGTTTTCGGAAGAAGAAATCAAAGCTATCAATAGCCACATGAAAAAATGCTTTAAAGCATTCTTCATTAGAGAAATGTGAATTAAAACAACTCTGAGGTACCACCTCACACCTATCAGAAATGACAAATGCTAGAGTAGATGAGGGAAAAATAGGGACACCGAGGGAAAATAATGCATTGTTGGTAGAGTTGTGAACTGATCTAAATATTCTGGAGAACAATTGGAATTATGCCCAAAACGCTATCAAACTGCACATACCCTTTGACCCATCAATACCACTGCTAGGTCCCCAAAGAAAGCAAAGGAAATGAGAAAGGACTCACATGTACAAAAATATTGATAGCAGCTCTTTTCTGGTGGCAAAGACTTGGAAATTGAGGGGATGCCCATCCATCGGGGAATGGCTGAACAAGTTGTGGTCTATGATTGTGATGGAATATGATCGTGCTGTGGGAAAATGATGAGGGGAATTGTTAGAACAACACGACAAGATCTATATGAGCAGATGCAAAGTGAAATAGGAAGAACAGGGAGATCATCGTGTGCAGTAACAGCAATATTGTCGTGCTGACCGACTGTGAAAGACTCAGCTACTCTGAGCGATACAATGTTCCAAGACCGTTCCAAAGGACTCTTGATGAAAAACTGCTCGCGGCCTCCAGAGAGAGAGCTGGTGAACTCTGAATGCAAACTGAAGTAGAATTTTCTCACTTTCTTTATTTTTCTTGCTTTTTTTGAAACATGGCTAATATTGAAATGTGTTTTTCATGATTTCACATGTACAATTGGCACCCCATTGCTTGCCTTCCCAGTGGGTGGGGGAAAGGGTGGGAGGGAGGGACAGAATTTGGAAACTCAAAATTTGAAAAGAATGCTAAAAATTAAATAATTTTTTTTTCTTTAAAGAGGACTAGGGGCTGATTGGATCACTGCAAACACGATCATCATCCCAGAGTCCCTTCTGGAAGATCCAGGGATGGGAGCTGAGAGCAGTGACAGTCTCTCTCTACCAGAGGCAGCCCAGCTTGTCATTGTTCTTTCAGAACTATGGGCCCAGAAGTGACTGCTGGCCTTCCATGTGGTTTCTTACTTGGTATGACAAGCATTCAGTGACTCCAATCTGATAGGTGTTTAATGTGTTTACTGTTGAATTAGTGCATACTGGCTCTAAGAATGCCATCAAAAGGAAATGATAATAAATGATTTCTAAGACGTTCCAATCCAACTTAGTGAGCACTCATGAAGCATCTACTGTGCACTGAGTACCAGGCTGGGTGCTGGGCATACAAAGACATTCCCTGAGGGGAAAGACTTTCGTTTCTGTCTCTGTATACTCATCCCTTGGCACGATGCCTAACACAGAGTAAACACACACTCTAGAAATGCCTTGGGATTGAATTGACCCTGCCAAGTGCAGCTGGGGCTTGGCCAGTGTGTTCAAGGTGTCTCCAAGCCCAATCTGGGGCTTGGGCTTTTCTGATCCCACAACCTAATCTGTCTGTTTGCCAGGCTGGATAGCTGCCAGGCCTCTGAAGGCCCTGGTGGATGGGCATTTCAGGGACAACGTCTGGCCCGCAGGGGACATGGTGGATTTATTGTCTCTCATGACTCAGTCCCTGTTTTAGCTCAGCTTGTGAGCTCCTAGTAAGCCAGCTCCCCAGACCCGTGTGAGTCATGGGGCCTAACCCATGAAGCTGCTTTGCCAGACCTCCCCCAACCAACGAGATTCAGGAAGTTACCCAACCCACGTGTTCAGCTCCCGGCAGAGACAAAACCTGAAGCTTTGGCTTCCTGCTTGGACCGACCGGCTTCCCAACATTCAGGGCCATCCTGGAGTGGCCTCTCTTGCCCCAGTGAGCAGGCCAGCCAGGGGGCAGCTGACTGGAGACTCCGGACGGTGGCCCAGGTGTGTAGAGACTGGCACTTTTCCAGAGGCCTCCCTTTGGAGCCTGGAGGGCTCTGCTGGGCACTGGGGCAGCCCCCAGGAGGACTAGGATCAGAAGGACATTAGGGCCCCAGTTTGGGGGAGGGGGGAAGCGCACCAATGCTCCATTCAGTCTCACAGGGTTCAAGGAAACCAATGTGGGGTCTGGAGTCAGAGGAGCACAGTTGAAATTGCAGGTGACCTAGGCACCACCGTATCTCAGTTTTCTCCTCTGAGTTCCCTGCCTTGAGAGCTAAGATCCTGAGCTGCCCTGTGATAATGATAATAACAGTTCTTTAAGGTTCACCAATAAATGGTCATTGGGGAGGGCCCCGGATGCCAGTGTCACCCCAGGGTCCCCTTGTTCTGAGCTTCAAGGCAGTGGGCGAGCTATGATCTCAGACTGTAAGACCCAGCTCTCACGCATGCCCCTTTGGCTAAGTGAGCCCCTCCCCATCTCTGAGCCTCAGTTTCCTCACCTGTAATAATGTGGCTGTAGGGAAAGCATTGTAAGGATGGAAATCACAGCTGTGGGTGGGGTGCAGGAGAAGGAAAAGGTTTCAAATGACATATCTATAAAACACAGGGCAGTGCCAGGCGCATAGTAGGAGCTTAATAAATGTACATTCCCTTGCCCCTCTCTTCTCAGCCCATCCCCCAACCACCCTGTTGGTCTGTCTGCTGCCCACGGGGTCTACTCTGAAGCAGGTTGGCCAGGGCTGGGCAGGAGCGGCCAGATGCCTCCAGCCAGGGGATTAGACTCCAAGCAGGTCATATTTCCTCTGTGGAGCTGTTAACAAAACCAGCTCCAGAATTACCAAAGGTGGCCAGGTGGAGAATGCGGGGGTGATTGTCTCCGGTAAGCTGAGGAGGCTGGAGCAGGGGATGCAAGAGGCCCCTCCCAGTGCTGAGGGACTGCACAGGTTTGGTGACAGCCCAGGAAACAGGAAGAGCAGAAGGCATGGGGTTCAAATCCCTTCTCTGACATTTACTGCTTGTGGGAGCTTAGAAGAGACATTTTCCTTCTCTGTGCCTCAGTTCCCTCACCTGTGAAATTTGGGCATTGGACTGGATGTCCTCTATGGTCCCTCCCAGTTCTGACATTATCTGATTACAAATGAGCTGTGGACACTCTCTCTCCCCATCCTTTCATCTTTTCCCCTTTTCAGCGCTCACAATGCCAAGCCCTCCACCTACTCTCCAGAAGCAAACTGATAAATGTCCCTCCCCAGACACAAAGTCACATCCTCTTTTCAGCCCAAAGGAATTCCCCCAAATTCAGGCTCGGGCTGCAAGGGGGCCAGGCTACCCAGACCTCCCAGGGAGATCGCTGTCTTGCTGCTCCCTGCCCCAGGCTGACCCCCTTGTGCTCAGTTCTGGGCAGCCCAGTGTAAGAAGGACATTGACGGGACATGAGGGAGACCGAATGGGGAAGGGCCTGAGAGTTCGTGGCCTGCAAAGGTCAGCCAAGGGGATTGGGAATGTAGCCTGGAACTGTCCATGGAAGAGGCATTAGCCTGGTTCCACTTGGCCCCTGGAGGCAGAGCCTGGAGAAGGGGCAGAGAAGCAAATTTCTGCTTGTTGCAAAGGTAATCTTTCCCCTACGGGGAGCAGACCCAAAATGAAGCCGGCTGCCTCAGGAGGTAGTGAGCTCCCCCTTACTGGAGGTCTTCAAGCACAGGATGGATGACACCCCGTTGGGGGTACTGTGGAGAGGCTGCTTGTTCAGGTAAATGCTGGACCAGAGACCTGGGAAGGCCCTTCCCACACTGAAGCTATGTGATGGAATGGTGGGATTTCAGGCACGGTGACTGACCAGGGGAGGGAGAGCAAGCCCACTCTCCTTCTCTCAGACACAGTCCTACAGGCAGGTCACCATCCTAGAAGAGCAGGTCACAGCTCAGCCCAGTGACAGCTCCAACACCCTGAGTTTGGAAGACCCTTAGAGGCCCCTAGCCTAAGCAGCCTCCACACCCAAGGAAAGGGAGGGTCGTGCTACCTTGGGGCCCTTGCTGTGGGGCTTCTTCTCTTGTCTGTCCTGCAGGGGGTCCTCCCAGCAAGCCCTGGCCAGCCGGGGGCGGGGAGGCACGAGCTGCCCCCCAGGGGCGCCCCATTGGGTAGGAGCCCAGCTGTTGGCCTGCTCACACCAGATAGCGTGGGTATCATTCTTGTTATTAACAATGCCATACAATCATGGGGCGTTACAATGACAGAGTGTGATAATTGTTCTTATTATGCTATAATTAATTGTAAGAACAGCAGCAGTAAAGTTAGGTGATCTAAGGCTGGCAGACAGCTTTGCTGGCATTCTCTCATTTTGTCCTCAGGAGGACCCTGGCACGGAGGTGCTGCTCTCATCCCATTTTACAGATGAAGAAATCAATGCTCAGAGAGGATTCGTGCTTAGTGTCTGAGGCAGGATTTGAACTCGTGTCTTCCTGACTCCTGGCCCAGAGCTCTCTCCTTAGTGGGTCGAGACCAACAAGGGGGCCCCCATCCTATGCTCAGAGAGCTTCGGAGGGGGCCCACATCGTCCTGAGATGGGGTGCACGTCCTGCCTTGCAGACTGAAGCCGCCTCTGCACTGCTCCCGGCTCTGTCCTCTGGGAGCCAGACCTTCCAGGATGGTCTCTTCTCCCTGGGGCAGCCCCCATACCCACAGAGACAGCGACCCATCTCTCCCCAGCCCTCTGCCCCCTTCGCCCTCTCCTAGGACAGTGTAGACTCCTGGCCTGGGGCTCTGGGCTTGGTGAGGGTCAGGGGTTGTTCACATGCAAAAAATATTTTGATAACTGTCTCAATAGAATTTATTTCCTTTGATTTTATTTTTTGCATTTGAAAACCTGCTTGCTGCCCAAATTCAAGGAAGAGCCCCTGCGTGCGCCATGGCATGAGCTAGATGACCTCTACCCTTTGGATTCCCCCCTCACACACACACACACCACACACCTACATACCTATACACACACACCTACACACACACCTACACACACCCCTACATACACACCTACACACCTATACACACACACACCTACATACACACCTGCATACCTACACATACACCTACATACACACACCACATACACATCTACACTTACACACCTACACACCTACACTTACACACCTACATATCTACACATACACACCTACACACACACACACACACTTACCCATGAACACACACCTACATACATACCTACACACACACTTACCTGTACACACACACCTACACAGACACACACACAAGCCATCCAGGGGATCCCTGGATCCCCAGCACCTCCTGCCCCCTGCCTGCCGTGCCCCCTGCTCTGGGCTTCTCCCGTTCTCCCTGTCCTACCAGGCCCACCTCCAGCCCACCTCTACCTGGCTGTCCCAGGCCCGTGAGCTACCTTGTCAGCTGGTGTGTATAATCTCAGCTCCCAGAGCTCGAGGACAACGGGTTCCTTTCCATAGGCCCCCAGGACATCAGAGTTAAGGATCATGATCCTTGAATAGGGTGAGGGGGCCCCCAGATAGCAGATGGCAGAGCCAGGATTCTCCAGTGGTGGAGTAGGAAGGAATGATGGAGGCCAGGGTTGCTCAGTCACTGCCCATCTCAGAGCCTCATTTTCTACATCTGTGAAATGGAGATCACGATCTCTACTCCCTACCTCTCAGGGCTATTGTGGGGAAATAGAATCTAGTTGGTCGGTGCTGTGATTGACTATTGGCTGGTCTGCCTAGAGGCTGGAGGGGGGCCGGCTGGGTCTGGGTCCAGTCACTCTGGAGGAAGGGAATCTGCTGGATCCCGTCTCTCACCGAGGGGAGGGGAGTGACCCAGCAGATCTCCTCAGGGTAATGAGTAACAGGAGTTATCCAGCAGGGACAAAGTCCTCGGCCTTGACCTGCGACTTAGAACACCCATTGTCAGCCTAAGAACTAGTGATGTCACCCAGAGCTGGCCACAGGAAACGGGCCAAGAAGCCTCAAGGTGGAAGGGGGATGGGGGCTGAGGAGCCCAGAAGCCAGGCTGGGGGCCCTCGGAAGCCGAGGAATGAGCTGGAAGGACCGAGCCTAAGACCAATCCCCTTCTTTCGATGGATGGGGAAACTGAGGCCCAGAGAGGGTAAATGGCAGTCCGGTGGGAGGCCTCCCAGGCAATGAGTGGCAAAGCCAGGTACTTCAGTTAGCCAGTCAGCCAGTCAACAAGCATTTATATGTGCCAAGCACTGACCTGAGCGATGAAGATACAAGACCCAGGCAGAAAGGGTCCTGCCCGCCAAGAGTTCCCATTCTAGCGGTGACCATAGGCTTAGCAGAGCCCCTTACACACCATCTCACCGGCCCCTCCCACCAGCCCTAAGGAGTAGTCCTTAGAGGGTGATTATCCCCATTTCCAGATGAGGAAACTGAGGCTCCACTGTCACCCTCGGAGGAGGCTCCTGGTCCCTGACTCCTCGGCCCCTCCTTCGGGGCTGTAATACTTCCCCCACATCAGAGATCAAAGCCCCGACGGGGCGTACAGATTCCTGGGGATGTCTCCCTCACCGGTCAAGGCTGCTCTTGAGCTGGCATTTCTGGAGCTGCCACCAGGTGTCAGGAGGCGGGGTTGTGGTGGTTTCAATTTCCCTCTCTCCACCCTTGGAGTTCAAGAAACCTTCCCCTGGAGAGCCAGCCTCCTTCCTCTTCCTCCCCTCCCTCCGGGCCTCAGTCCCCGCCCAGCGCTGGCCAGCACTATCCAGGCAGGTGGCCCACACTCAACAGGACTTTGGCACCCAGGGTGCCCAGTTGCAGCTGAGTGGTTCCCCTGCTGCCTCCTCTCTTACCAGGTCCCTCCTGTAGTCTATGCCAGCAGCCGGGACCCCAAGCAGGCCAGGATGCAGGTAGACACCCACCTCCAGCAGAGGAGGAAGGCCCAGGGAGGCCCCCAGAAGGAGAGCCCAGCCTCTCCAGGAGATGCAGGTCAGCAGTTTGTCCTCCGGGTAACCTACGTGCTCACTGCTGTGGAGCTCACCTGTCTCTTCATGCAGTTCTCCATTATGCCGGTGAGTGGTCCTGCTGGAGGTGGGAAGGGGACCCAGCCCGAGGCCCTTCAGGAGGGCAGCCGAGTGCCAACCAAGGCTCCCTCCCATAGCCGCCTGAGCAGGGGCTGGACGTGGGCCAAGGGCAGAGCTTGGATGAACCAGGGCTGCTGTTGTGGGGGAGGGAGGCTCGCCCTGGGCAAAGATGCCCTGGAAGCAGCCCTGGGTGTGGCATCAAAGACCTGGGCTCCAGAATCGGCTCTGTCATGGTCTCAGTGGATGACTTCGGACAAGTCCCTTCACCCCTGGGGCCCCATCAGGCTGCCTCTCCACACCCTGCTCAGGGGCTCACCTGAAGGGGTAGTGTGGCCCACTAGAAGGGCACTGGCCAGGAGACCAGACACCCGCATTCAAGGCTTAGCCCTGCCATGAATTGGCTGTCTGGGCCTCAGTTTCTTCACCTGTAAAAGGGGGATCCTGATGCCTGCCCTACCCTTTTTCAAGGCTGCTCTGTGCACCAAGTGAGAGAAGGGTCCTGAAAGCCCTCTGTAAGACTGGACAGCTCCTCCCCCAGCCCCTACCACAGGAGGGGATGCATGGCTCCCCAAGGGGATTCCCAGGGGTGGGAGGGTGCTCGGAGCAGCTGATGGAGGAGGGAACCAAGGCCCAGAGAGGGAAAGGAATGTGGAGAACATCACCCAGAAAGTGCCTTGTGCTGGAGCTGGGCCTTAGCATCCTGGTCTCCCGACACCCCATGTCGAGGAGGGTGGTGGCTGGTCAGCAGCCGGTATGTGGGTTAGGGCAGGGGGGCTCAGAGAGAGGTCCAGGCAGATTCCCTTGGGCCCGAGGCTCTTCTGCTTCGTTCCCCAGGATTCTCTGCCATGACTTTTCCACCAGAGTCATGGGTGAAGTGGCCCAGCCCCATTCATTCCTGGTTCCAGGACTGCCTGACTGAGCAATCTTGGCCAAGTCCCAGAGGCCCCTCCTTTGGAAAAAGATGGGCTTGGACCTGGTGGAAGTGAATGCATATGCAAGAACCTGTGTGGCCCGTGCCCTGCCCCCTGACCTGAACTCTAGGGACAGAAATAGAATCATCAGACAGTCTCTGCCCTCAGGAGGCAACCCCTAGAGAAGGTCCAGCAGTCCTGAAGGGCTGCTGCAGAGCCGCTGGGCAGGCCTTCGCTATCAGCTTCTGACACTGCCCCCAGGCTGGTGCTGAGGACTCTGCCAGTGAGAACCTTCATTTCTGGCTCTTCCTGCAGCCGCCTTTGTGCCCACAGAGCAAGGCCACAGCTCCCACGTCCATGGGGGCTGTGTCCCCAGACAGGGTTGGTGGTCTGGAGGTGCCTGAGTTTTGCTGTCAGTGTCCACTGAGGCTAGAATGCCTCTCAGGTCCCCCCACCTGTCCTGCCTGGACACTACAGCTCTCCCCCAACAACCCACTTGTCCTGCCTTGCCCTCTGGGTATCCCCTCCTTGTCTTCTTGGAAACCAGCCCCTCCCCATGTGGTACCAGGCCCGGGCCTGGTCTCTCCTCGGGCCCCTGAAAGCACTGGGTCGGGAGGAGGCGGCTGCTCGTCTTGGCTCCCACCACCTCCTCTTGAGGGCTCACATGTTCATCTTTATCACCAGCTCTTCTGCCCCAGGGTGTTGTGTTAAATGGCCAGGCTGCCCAGCTCCCGTGGGTGCCCTAGCCTCTCCATGCTGGCAGCCTTTCCGTCTCCCTCACTCCCTCATACCCACTCTGCATCCTCACTGTGACCTCCAAGGTTCCCCACCCTCTGTTCTCCCGACCCACCTCCCAGCTTGGCCTTCCCTCCCCCATCATCTTGGCTCTGGGGCCCCAAGACTAAGGGATGTGGGACCTTTGAGGGCAGCTAGTCCAACCCCTTTTCTTTGAGGAAACTGAGTCCCAAAGAGAAGTGACTTGTCCAGGGTTACAGTGTGCCAACTGGGGTTTGCATCCAGGCCTTCCTGACCTCAAGCCCACTGCTTTACCCAGCGCCCCACACTGTCTCATGTTAAACGATTAGCCAGAGGCTTCGTAGACCTTTGAATCCCTCGTGCCTTTGTCCTAACACTGGCAACATCTGGCCAGACCCCAAAGCTGTGCTGGCGCTGACACCTGCCTGCCTTGTTCCGATCCCTACGCTGCTGATGGAGCCACTGAGGTGCTGCCAAGGCCTATTCTCTGAAGGGCCCTCACTACTGCACGGGACAGCCTCGAAGTCTAGCCTGAGGGACTCCCCTCTCACACTCTCCACTGATGACACCCCAAGCCTTCTCCTCTCTCCCTAAAGCTCAGATGCCCCTTCCTAGCAGAGGAATCGTGGCCTACCTTTGGGAGATTGTCCACAGTGAGCCCCCTCCCCTCCCAGGGCCATACACCAGGACGTCTTTGCACCACCCTCACTCTCCCCTCTTAGCTCTGGTCTCCAAGGGAGAAATGGCCCTTCTCTCCAAGACTAAGGCCTCACCTATGCTCTTCATCCCAGGCCTCCCTGTCGCCTTCAGAAGCCTCCCTGGCTTTGCCTCCTCCTCCATCTTGCCCTCTTTCCTGGCTGCCCACAAGCACGCCCAGGCCTCCTCTGTTCTAAAATATCTTCAGCTTTCCTGGGTCTTCTTTGTGTACTCTCTCTCTCTCTCTCTCTCTCTCTCTCTCTCTCTCTCTCTCTCTCTCTCTCTCTCCCTATGTCTGGGATCACTCCCCATCTCTGTGCCTCAGTTTCCTTATCTGTAGAGGAGGATGAGTAATTCCTGCCCAAGCTTTCTCAGAGGTCACTAGGACAGCTTGGTAAGAGAATGGACAGTAAAGCCTTCTAGAAGCCTGATGCCCTGCAGACAATAAGACACATTGCACTTTCTGGGTTTCAGTATCTGGCAAAGGACCTGGGCCTGGACTCCGTGGGCTTTGGCTACCTACAGACCCTCTTTGGCGTTCTCCAGCTCCTGGGAGGACCTATTTTTGGCAGGTAATGTAACTCTCCCTCCTGAAAGAAGGGAGGCACCCCCATTGCCTGCCTCCCTGGGGAAGAGAGAGCACAGAGGGACAGGCTGGAGGAGCTGGGGGAGCTGGGGGGAGGGGTCTCAGTGTACCTGCGTACTTAATCTCAGTGCTGAGGTGAATTTGATGGGTGACCTGGGCAGGTGAGCTTCCTTCTCTGGGCCACACTTCTCCTGCCTGTAAAAGTCAGGGACTGAACTCAATTAGCTCTGAGAGGTCTCTTTGCTCTGCCTCCTGGGGGTTAAGCCTGAGCTGCTTCCCTTCCCTGAAGGTTTGCGGGTAAGGGGAGGGTGATGCCATAGGCACACTAGGGAAAGTGGAAAAAAGTCAGTCAAGTGGAACTAGTTAAGATGCTCCTCCCCCTTCGTCCTTTCTCCTCCTCCTCCTCCCTCTCCTCTCATCTCCTTTCCTCCTTCCTCCTCCTCTCTCCTCCCCTTCCTCCTCTTCCTCTGTCTCCTCTCCTCCTCCTTCCTCCTTCCTCCTCCCTCCCCCTTCCTCCTCCCTCCTTCCTCCTCCTCTCCTCCTCCTTCCTCCTTCCTCCTCCTCCTCTCTCCCCTTCCCCTGGCCCAAAGCAGAAGGCCTGAAACCAGTCTGAGGGGCTTGCCCTAACAGACCCCATGAGCCTCATGAGAATTGGTGTGAGGGCAGAAGGGTTTCCTGGGGGCCTGTTTAATGCACCTGAGCAGGGCAGCCTTATCTCTGTGTCTCCTCCCAGGTTTGCTGACCAGTGGGGGGCCCGGGCAGCCCTGACCCTCTCCTTCTTGGCTGCTTCTGGCTTCTACCTGCTTATCTCCTTCGCCACAAACGTTCCTCTCCTAGTGGTGTCCCGGATCCCAGCTATGTTCATGCATGTGCTCCCAGGTACTGGGGCTTCCCAAATGTCCCGGGAATGGGGCGTGGAGGAAGAGAATATCATGCCCCTAGGTCTTATGGCTTGGCCTTGGGAATGGGGGGAGAGGCACAGGAAGGGGGGAGGCAGGAGAGAGACAGAGAAGGATTTGGAAAGAGGCGCTTCCTTCCTTGGACTCTCCCAGCTCCCTGTCTTTCCTGGCCCTCTACAGCACGGGCTCCAGCTCAGAAGATTACACCCAAATTCTGTCCTTCCACATACTACCTGGGTGACCTAAAGCTATGACTTTCCCCTCCTTCTGGAAAGGAAAACAAGAGCATTTGACTGTCCAGTCTAATCTTTCAACCAATCAGTCAGCATGCTTCGCCAAAGCCCCTTCCGGGCGTCAGGCCCTGCGCTGGTGCTGGGGGTACAAAGTCAGAGGGGAAGCAGCCCCTCCCTTCCAAGAGGTCACAGTATTGAGCTGGGAAGCAATGGGTACGCCCAGAAGTGTGACCCGCCTTTGGCCATGCCCACAGTGCTCCTGCCTGCTGGGTGCTGAGGACCCTGAGTTCTCCAGTGTCTGTGGCCAGCATGAACCCCCAGAATTCTGGGGAATCTACCGGACCAGCAGGCAGGTGGCATGATGGGCATGGCCCAAGATAGGTTAGATGAACAAATATAGAATGTATACCCAGTAAAAATCAAGGCGTTTGGTGAGGAAGAAACTGGGATGAGCGGTGAAGGGACCCTTAAAAGCCTCACACTGGAGGTGGCTTTGAGTTGAGCTTTAAAGGGAGCTAAGGGTCCGAAGACATGGAGGTAAGGTGAATGTGTTTTCTACACATGAGGCACAGCCTGGTCAAAGGTGACAGGCTTTCAGAGCCAAACAGAGAAGTTCATAGTTTATCCACAAGGCAAAAGAGAGCAATGGGAGCTTCCTGAGCAGGGGAGGTGGGTGGTAAGACCTGTGCTTTAAGAATACTACTTTGGGCCCTGTATGGAGGCTGGATGGGAGAGAAGAGAGACTGGAGTCAGGGAGCCCAATTAGGAGGCTGTTGTCTTTGTCTAGACAAGAGAGGTGGGACCCAAGCTCAGGTGGGAGACCAGGGCCAGAGAAACTGGCATGGAAGTCATCTGTGTAGAAATGATCATTGAGCCTGTGAGAAGGGATGAGGTCCCCGAGAGAGAGAGGGAGCACATGTAGAGAGGAAAGAGAAAGAAGCCACTGGGTAGCTTAAGGGACACCCAGAGTTTGGGTGACTGGGAAAAACTGAGCAAGAAAGACTGCAGAGGAGCAGAGAAACAGGAGGGAGCTGCGTTGTGACACCATCCAGGAGGAGAAGATGATCAACAGGGTCAAATCCTGAGGCAAGGAAGATGGTCAAACTCTGTGGAGCAGGAGGAAGCATACAGCTCAGGTCTTCTCAAAAAGCAAAGATCTAAGAAGAGCACCAGCTGAGGCGAGTGGAGAAGTGCAAGCAGAAACCTCACTGGGCGACTTTTCCAGCCCAGGTCAGCATTAAAAGGGCAGTTTTAGGGAATCTGGGAAGATTTGTATGAACTGATGCAGTGTGAAGGGAGCAGGACGAGGAGAACAATTTATGCAATAACAACAACATTCGTGAGGACAAACCTCTTTGAAAGACTGATCAATGCAACCATGCACCACAATTCCAGAGGACACATGATGAAACACGCTGCCCACCTCCTGAGAGAGAGGGAATGGAATCGGGACAGTTTGGGGTATACATTTTTTTTAAATCTTTTTTTGGGGGGTGGGGGCTGGACAGTGGGGTTAAGTGACTTTCCCAGGGTCACACAGCTAATAAATGTTATGTGTCTGAGGCCGGATTTGCACTCAGGTCCTCCTGAATCCAGGGCTGGTGCTCTTTCCACTGCACCACCTAGCCGTCCCTGGGATATACATTTTTGAACATGGACAATTTAGGAATTTGTTTTGCTCGACTATGACCAGGATTTTTCTTTTCTTTTTTTCCTTTTAAATGGGGAGGGAGGAAGAGAATAGAAATTCTTATTAATTAAAAAATAAGTTAAAATGAAAGAATATAATGAAAGAAAGAAAGAGTAAAAACCTGTGATTGTGGTCTTGGTGAGAGGAAGAGAATGACAGACTGAATCAAGCAAAGAATGCACACTCCTCTCTCACCACCCTTTTCTTCTCAATAAACAATGGTGGGAATCAAAGAAAGGAAAATGTATAAGCAAATTGGAGGCGGGAAACACACAATCAACATCAAATGAATGTCATTGGAATTAGCTCACCCATAAAACAAAGGAGACAGCAGAATGGATTAGAAAGAAGAACCTAACAAGAGTTGTTTATAAGAAACACTTTTGAAACCTGATGATTCACAGATTAAAATGAGGAGCTGGAGCAAAATCTATTATGCTTCAGATAAATTAAACCCAAATTAAATTAAAAAACAAGGGAAACAATCATAATCTCAGATAAGGCAACAACAAAATAGATTGAATAAAAGAGATAAATAGGAAAACTATATCATGCTAAGTACCATAGACAGTGAATTAAGATTACGCTTAAATTATAAAACTAGAATAGTGGTGAGCACCCTCGATGTATCCCTTTCAGACTTAGACAAGTTTAACAAATGCTATGAAAGAAATCAAGAAGGGTGAAGACTAGAGCATCACAGAATTCAGAGCAGAAAGGGACCTTCTGGTCCAACCCATAAATGAAATGAATCCCCACTATGGCACACACAAGAAGAAAAAAGTAACCACATTTGGCAGTTAAGAGATCATTGGTAACTTTGGGCAGTTTTAGTTGAATTACAGTCAGAAGCCAGATTACAAAGGATTGAAGGGTGAGAGGAGACCAGGAGTGAGAGCAGGGGCAAGGAGGGTATGCAGTTTTTTCTAAGAGTTTGACTGATAAAGGAAGGAGAGTTGTTTGACAATAGCTTAGGGGATCATAGGGTCAAGTGAGGGTTTTAAGAATGGTTGAGGCAGGAGTGTATTTATAGACAGCAGGGAAAGAAGCAATAGATATATTGAGAGAGATTAAAAATGATAGAGACAAAGACATACAGAGAGAAAGGGAGATGGAGATAGATGCACATAGAGAGACAGAGACTGAGAGAGACAGATAGAGAAACAGAGAGAGAGAGAGAGAGAATAATAATAATAATAATAATAGAGGCAATCTGTTAGAGAAGATAAGAGGGAATAGGACCAAGGGTGCATGTATAGGAGTTTTGCTTTGTCAAGGAGAAGGGCTACCTCTTCATTAGAGAGGAGAAAAGGAAGGGTGATGTCAAATGAGGTTGATTTCAAGGTTTTGAAGGAGAAGGGAAGGAGAGGGAGCTTGTGATGAAAGGTTTCTATTTTCTCAGTTAAATATGAGATGAAGACCTCACCTGAGAGGGTGGGGGTGAGTGGGAGGTGTGGAGAGCCTTGAAGAAAGCAGAGAAGGTTGTTGAGGAGAGCAGGATTGTGAATCAATTATGGAGGAGCAGAAGGATTGCCTTGCTGCAGTGAGAGCCCAGTTTAAATAAGATGCCATGAATTTGTGGTGGCCCCAGTCAACACAATTCATAACTTCTTCCAACTCTATTCAGCAACATGTCAATAGGAGAAGGAGAGATAGATGGTAGGGGCAATCCAGGGCTGGAGTTTGTTGCAGTGTGAGCAGAGATGAGACAAAAGTGAAGAAACTAAATGGAGGTGATGCTAATGTTGAACAGTTTAATTGTACGGTCAAAATCAGGGAGGAAGAATAATGAAGCGAAAATAGGGGTAAAGGTCTGAAGGCACACTGGAGGGCAGAAGAGTTAGAGCAGGGACCAAAAAGAGATTTCAGAGAGAAACATAGGGAGACATGGAATGACAGGGATGACTTTCTAACCCTAAATTTGTTATCCTATGGTAGAAGTCAACAAATACTTATTGTATACAACTCTGTCCTGGCTAGACTGCAGAGGAGACAGAGGGGAGTATAGCTGGACTTTGCCCTAAGAGAGCTCTCAGTCTGGGAAGACAGGAGGAGCAGACCCAAGCCTTTACCTCAGAGAGCTTATACTCTAAGGAAGACAGAGGAGAGGCAGCCCCAAACCCTGGCCTTGGGGACCTAGCACTTTAGGGGACACAGGAGATACAGACCCAGCCTCTCTCCTAGGACTTCAGAGAGCTTATCATCTGATAAAGACAGAAGAGAAACATCCTCAAGCTTCAGCCTGAGGGAAATAAAATGCTATGCATTTGTAGTGGTCCCAGTCAACACAATTCATAACAATCCAGGGCAAGATTGAACTGACTGATTCTACTCCCTTGATGTGGAGCCAAAATGGTGGAATAAGGCTGGAACTCACCTGAGCTCTCCCAAATTCACTTCCAAACAACTATAAAATAACACCTCAAAATGAATTTTGGAGCAGCAGAATCAACAAAAAAATGGGGTGATAAAATTTTCCAGCCCAAGACAACTTAGAAGGTTGGCAGGAAAGGTCCGTCTCACTCAGGTAAAAGGAGAAAGCAGTCCAGTGCAGGCGATGTCTGAGCCCCTGAGGTCCAGCACAGGCCAGTGATGAGGCCCTGTGGTACAAGTGCAGTAAGCCAGCAGCATATCAGGTCAGCTGGGGGCTTCAACTGTGGCACAGCACACCAGTGGCCTGACTCTGTGGCCCCAGTGCAGCAGATGAGTGCCCAGTGGAATAGACCAGTGGCCAGGCCCTTGGCCCCTGGTGCAAAAAACTTGGGACAGTGCTCCCTCCACTCCAGCAGCAGAGCTAAACTTTAAAAGTCACAGAATAGACTGGGAAAATGAACAAAAAAAAAAAAGGGAACCTGACCATAGAAAGTTACTATGGTGATAGGGAAGGTCAAAATACAAACTCAGAAAAGGAAAAAGAGGTCAAAATGCCTATATGCAAAGCCTCAAAGAAAAATGTGAATTGTTCTCACAGGCTCCAAAAGTCCTCCTGGAAGAACTCAAAAAGCATTTAAAAAATCAAATAAGAGAGGCAGAAGAAAAATTGGGAAATGAAATTAA